TATATATAAAAAAAAAAATCCAACTCCTAATTAACTACCCAAATTCCCTATCTAAGCGATTGCTTTTTGATACAAAATGCCACACATTATCATAATTATCATAAAGGCTTACAATCTCATCATCTTTAACTACCTGCAATCTCATCATCCTTAACTACCTGATTGCTTGCCCAAATCAGCCACTTCAAAGTCATATTTTTAAGAAGAAAATTCTGAAACAAATTTCCATAATGAAGTGAGATCCAAAACCATATGAAAAATGATTTAGAAACAATTTTTTGATATTATTTTTATATCATTCTTTATCTAATGTTATATATTATTTAAATAATTAATTTTTTTGTTTATTTAAAGTTTATAATATTAAATGCATTCACTCATTTAATAATATATAAAAAATTATATAAAACATAATACAAAAAGATTATTGTTTTATATCTACAGCTAAACCATATTCATCATCTCCCAACAAAATCAGAAATTTTTTTGGCGTAAACCTCGCTAGACAAAACCCTTGACTCCACTAGTGCCTCCCCTCCATCAAACCAGCACCACCACGTCGCCCCACTCCCGAAACAGTTGCAGGTGTCACCAAAGTCATCCACCCACTCGCATCATCCAGTTGCCACCGCAACATATGAGGCATGTGTTCCTGCAACCACTAACCTCCCTCACCAACCAAGTACCTCTACGACAAGACAAAACTCTCTTACCGCTACCATCACTGCTGCCGACTTTGTCCCCTCCAAGCAAGATAATTTGCCTCAGGGAAACTGCCAGGGCCACATGAAGAAGAAGAACCAATCGTCATCGTTAACACCACAACAAAAACCCATACCCTCACGAACGAAGGGACGATAACTCTTAAAATCCTAGCTAGGAGAAGGCATCCCCGCAAAAATGGGCCTAAAAGTAACAGGAATAACGATGAGGAATAATTGATTCAATTGAAATTGAAATTTTGATGTAGCTCACCGTTGGTGGCCATGAGGGACTATTTATGTTTTTATTTTTTTATTTTGATTATACATAAGATGTAATTATCTCTCATTTTTTATTTCATCTTACCAGCATGTCATACGACTCAAACTTAAGACCTCTTATTTTTAATAAAAAAGGATAACCACTGAATTATTTAGGTAGTTAGCATTTTTAACTTTTTTAAAAAACATGAGTTGATATGCATTAGGGAAGGGATATGATAATCATAAATTAAGGGGAGATTTATCCCATGACACAATTGGAGGAAATTTTTTTATATAACAATGATATTATATCAGCGATATTCTTGTATTCTTATCTATAAATGTAGTGACACATTAATACATATAACTTTTATTTATGATTAAAAAAATTAACTTGTTACAATTTACTAATTACTTAATTGCAAATGAGGGCCACACAATTAGAGTGCAGGGGAATCTTGCAACTAGCAAGAAAAGGCAGAGAAGATGAAACGAAGGATATTTGGAGGGGGCAATCAACTGCTCTTGTACTTCTATATGATTGTGATGATAAGAAATCATTGGAAAATTTTGATGAATGTCATGCAACAGTGCAGATTCTTCAGTCTACATTCCACTCTTGAATGACATTCATTTTAAAGAAGATATTCAAACTCTTTAATAGAAATTTTTACTCTTGAAAAAATAATTAAAAGTAATAAATAGTTAACAATTGAATATTCAAATGAAGAATTGACATTTTGTTTTCTATCAGCACAAATGAAGAATTGACATTTTGTTTTCTATCAGCACAAATGAAGAATTGACTTTGTAAATAAAATTCAGTTCTTAAAATTAAGATTCGGACTCTTAAGATTAGCAAAAATCAACTTCGTCCAACTCAAAAAGCATGAAAAGTCAATCCATAAATTTTACCAACGACCTAATCATATTCCTTGACATCCAAGCGCACAGCAAAAGTCAAAAGAAGTAGAAAATGTCCACATGATCTTT